AAAATGTGTGAGCATCCTGCCACACTGCATCAATGCTTTTGCATCTCCTCTCCACATAATAAATTACAGGAGACCAAAAATATTAAGATTTTTGCTGGGCTTTCTATAAGAGATTTGGCACTGGTTCAGAGTGCTCAAGTAACTTACCATGGCCTCAACTACCCATGATTCACTTTCATGATTTTTTCAAATGCTCAAAACATAGACTAAATTCAATAAAACCAGGTAAAATATGTTCCAGAAACCTTGATCTCCATTGAGTTTCTTCATTAAAAGTAACTGGCCTCAACAAACAGTCCAGCCTCAGGAGTATTTTCTTCCCAATTATTCTTATTTCAAACTCAAAAGAATGATCTTTTCCAAAATGCAACCCAAAACCTCAACTCTGCAATTAACTGTAAGACTTCAAGTAATTCTGACAATCTTTCCGAGTGCACACAAACCCAGACATATAACCAGCTAAGAGAAAGGTTTTAGTTCTAAATCCATGCCTTGTTCAAGGGTGGTTTTTTTGGTGGGTAATGTAAAATTACGTCACCTCTTTGGCACCACAAGAAATTAATGACCTCATTCTACTTCTCTGATAAAACCCTGGAGAGATCAAGGAGTATACTGATTGTTGACTTCACAAACTATCTGATACCCAGCTCACAAGGGGGCTACTCAGTAGTATCTAGCTCTTTTCTGGCCTACAGAGAAGAAAATCTCTGTACAATTATGAAAAGTCCCTGCAAAAGGGGAAAATAGCACAATAGATTTACTCTCTCTTCTTTTAACATACAGCCACCTGGGCTCCTACAGCTCATTTAGCTCTGGGATCACTTGCCTACCAAGACAGGATAAGCTAACCCAACACAGGTACCCAAGAAGTCTATTCAACCTGATCTGAGCCAGGCCACTAACATGTCAAATATAAAAAAGCTGCTGAAAACTCTTCTCTAGAAAAGCATGAAGGAAGTGTGCACACATCTACAGCAAAATTCCACACACAGAACACCTGCAATAAAACTTAATAAAATGCCAAAGCTAGGCTTTGTCTTGCCTGTATTTGTGAAGCATTCAGAGTAGGAGCACATTAGCTGACAGAACAGGAAAATGCAGCACAAACCCAAGATAGCAGTGACAAGACCAAGGACAGCAGATGTCACCAAGACTGGGTATATTCCAGTATTCAGAAGACCCCAACTTCTGCAACATGCATTTTTTGCTTCTCCACAAGAAAGCAAATAGTCAGACATCAACAATATTGAACTGGTTAGCTGGTCAATTTTTGAATAATATCAGGCTGTTGTGGAAGGAGCCATAATGCATTTAACAGAATCTCTGAATAAAAAGGAAAAGTTACGATTGATAATACTGACTATTCCCAGCCCCCAGACACCCTGCTTTCCTTATTCTGCTCAGGTAGTGAGGACACAGAGCCAGGTGCTGAAGCTTCATTTTTTCCAGATCCCAGGCTGCCACATGCAGTCCCAGCTCTCACATTCACTTACAGGGAATGAAGTCGAGAAACAAAAACCACAGAGAGAGTGGCACTATGGATGTCCCCAGCATGGAATGTCACACCAAAAGGATTCCCGGGATTGACTACATCTGAGGTCACATGGAATTGCCCTGGCAATGCTGCAAGATGGATGCTCATTTTCATAACCCTCCTTCTGCAATCCTGCTCAATGATTCTCACATAACATTCTCTGCATTCTTCAAGTGACAGACATTTGCCAAAGACCTGAAACGCCCCGGTCCAACTTCTAACTCTCCCATGCCTTCACCAGTCATGCTGGCAAAGATCCACAACAGCTGCTCTAATGAGCCAGAAGAGCCCGAGCATCCAGAGAGGGGCAAGAAAAGAGCATTTTCTTCCCTTGAGGTGATCCCCTGTGAGGTGAAGGCAGTAGAGAAAGCAGTGGCAGCTAAGATGATAAAATGTCAGACTCCCGGCAGTACAAAATGGCAGCTGATCCTTGGCGAAGTGCCAAGCTGCTCAAACAGGGAGTTGAGTACACGGGGCCATAATTATGATTAGCATAATAAGAGAGTGGTACAACAGCTACCTAGTTACTCTGAAGGGTCATGGAGAAATCATAACAAAGCAGAGTTTTAAGGAGAGACACAAAAGAAAACAATGACATAGCTGCTCGTGGGTTTTACCCGGAGGTTCCTCCATGCGTGAAGCGCGGCCTGGGAGAAAGCACAAAGACTGTTTAAGAGATCCGCCTCTCAATCAGGAGCAGCCGGCCGTGCCCGCGGAACTCAAACGGCTCCACAACAGATAAAGGATCATATGAAAAGTGTGACACTCAACACAAAGGACCTTACAAGAAAAATAGGCTGTTAGTGTAAATTTCAATAAAACCTGGGCTCAGTAGAGTCAATCAAGATTTTTTTCCTTTCTAACCAGAAAAGACTGTTTTCTCTTTCCCTCTGTCCTGGTTTGAGAATGAAGCAGAAGATATAAAAACATGAGAAAATTCAATAAATAAAATCTGAACACTCAGATATTTGCAGTTTTTTCACTTTGAATGTCACGTAAACAATATTTAGAGATCCACTGCATCATGCAATTAGCCCCAGCTGTCTGCGTGAAATTAATCAGAGTTTTAATAAAAGTATTAAATACTCAGTGACAGACTTAAAATACACATGGATATGAAAATCTGTAGATTAACTATACTGTGTACGTCTGAAGGAACTCATAGAGCGGAAGTTTAAAATCAAAAGTTCTCTTGGCAGGTAGAAAGATCAGAGTTTTCACTGAAATCTGAATTCCACAGAAGACACTGAGAATCTGTATATAAAAAAAATCCCACTCTTACTTAGCAGGCCTGATCTGGTCCTTCATGAACAGAAAGTTTACTGTTAACCCTATTTTCAGCTCCCTTTTCCTCTGTGCTGCTTCTGTTTCTCCTATTAATGTTTTCCATGACCAGACATCAAGAACCACTGAGTACACAAACCAAGCTTTTCCCAAGGCAAGGTCAACTTGTTACCATACAAGATGACCATCTGCTACCTCAAGTGAAACACATCCAGACACCCCAAGTTAAATGTTAATATTGCCATTAGGCTTCTCCATTGCATCTGCTATCATATGATATCACACAGAACATCAAATGAAGAGATGTTTTTTAGACTGAAGTGGCCCAACAGTCATACTGGTAAAAACCCTACCCATCTCTCCCTTGCTTTCAAAGATCATTTTTATTTGGTCTGAAATCCATAAAGTTATGGGTTTCTTCTATCTTTGGGGAGTTGGGGGAAAAAGCAGCCAACAAAACACAACCCTGTTTAACTGCCTTCCTTCTAAGCACCTCTGTCTCCAGCGAGAGGAATGAAACCCACCTTCAGAACACAATAAACTTATGACTTCCTACCACAGGCATCCCCATAAGGAAGACCACATTCTCGTTCTCAGACACCAAAATATTCCTACTGTCATAAATCCTTCCTGACAGCAATATCTGACAAACAAATTCCTAACAAAATATCTGAATGTTTTTAAATTATGCTTTTCCTACCTCATCACAGCTTTGCTATGCACACCAACAGACTTTGATACACACTGGTGCGAGCTAAACTCACAGGCATACACCTAAGGCACACATCTTAATTCCAATTTGCAGTGCTCATTGCAAACCATCATAACACCTAATTGAAACAAATTTATCCCATGAAAGTTCATTAATCAGTAACACATTTCAGAACAAAAATTCAGAGAAGCACACACACACACAGATTTTCCCAATCAGAGGACAGTCACTTATTAAACTTTTCATCTTCTTGTTAATTAAACCCTTATTTTATATAATTTTGGAACATCTATTTATTCCCAAGAACAGGTGTGTATTTCAAGCAACATACTCATGAAGAAAAAGGAGAACTAGCATCTCTCTTGCCTTGTAATTTTATCTAGGTGTCTACATACACAGTAGTGAGAGGAAAACAGACACACTACTATTAAATACTATCAGGGCTGAAGAAGCAAGAGAACACACTCCATTTGCCTTTCAAATGCAGATTGCAAAATGCTGACTTGTAGTAATTTGTAGCTCTGGATGCAGGTGTAACAGTCTGCAACGAAGTGACTTCAGGAAGGAACCTCCTAGTATTGCCACTGGACTTGCACATAGTGGACAGAAAGCTGAGTGGCCTGGGGATCTTATAATAACATGGTTAAATATAATCACTTCAGTTTCAAATCTTTAAGGGTTTGCATCCTGAGAGAAGAAGTGGTTGGAAATATCTGGGATGGTTACCTACATACTGAGAGAAATCTTCAAAAAGAAAAACGTACACAATGAGCTGAAAGTACTGACACACTATACATAGCTTCCTAAAAATCAGATGTATCATGTAAGCATGACTTGTTTACATTTGAACAACCACCCTGTATTTATGTAGTCTGTTTAGCCATTTAATATGCTAATAAGGAAGTTCATGCTTTTAGGAAAACAAAAAGCTTAGAAAACACTTCTGCTGAAGATTAGAATGCAAATAAAATGTGCTATTAGAAATTACATGGAATTCCACCCACAATCTTTAAACTGACTGCATGTAAGAATTTTACATGGCTAAAGCTTTAAGTTTTGAAAGAAAGTTATTTCATTCAACACAGTTAAATATCAGGTCCAGAAAAAAATTCTGAAGAACTCACTATAGCACAAAAAGATAACTCTAAACAATAATCTAAGGTTATTTTATTGTTCACTTTTGGAGAAAACATTCCATCAAGTCTTGAAATTTCCTATCCATATCCCTGAAATTGTCAAATTTTGGACATATTTCTAACTTCACCTTACACAGAGAAAGGAAACACAATAAATGACACATTTACAAAGTATTTCTACAAATTCTGAACTAAGGATTTTCTTTGCTTAAGAGAAGACCTTCTAGAGCTCAAAGTTCATGTGCACTACAGAATGAAAGATATTTTAAAAATGACACCTAGGCAACAGAAATTATGAAAAGTTCACTTCGGACTTGTAAAGAGGAACACGTACCACTTTGAGAGCTGTAATTGCAGCAAAATATGGTGCTCCAGTGTATCTAAAATGAAATAAAATTTAGGTTAGGAACCACAGTAATGAGATTAGATAATGATCTTTCATAGAAATATTTACACAGATCATGCCATAAAGCAGCAAAATTTTCTCAAGTAACAGAGGTAAACTTCAGAGACAAACAAACAAGAGCCAAAAACTGTCTGCAAGCTAAATATGGGATCTGTGACCTGGATCAATCCCATCTGGCTTTAGATGCTTAACTAAAGTGTCTAAACTGTGATTCCAGTTGTCCTAAATTCTCTTTATAAAGAATGAAGAGAGATATGAACACAATCACTCTCCAAAGGAGTTTACTTCAGACAAGAGGTAAGAACTTACAACCATCAGCTTCTAACTCCTGGCTATTTGACCCAGCTACAAGACACCACCTTTTTGCTCTTCATGGAATGCTTATTAACAGCAGATGTCCAACAGTAGAGATCTCTCTTACAGGAGAAAGACATCACCTCTCTTTCAAAAGGGGAAAACGAAAAGAAGGAAGGTGTAGTGGCTCCTTCAAAGTACTGTGGCCAATATTGTTTCTAGGTCAGCACAGCATTTAACTGCTTTATGCAGTATAAATTTAATGATTTATGCAGTATCCCTGAAATAGGATATTTCCATTACTTCAGTACATAAAGCAAGGCATTGACAGAATCTACTAAACACCAATATTTATCAAAATAAAAAGCCCACAAGAAAACATAGCATAAGAAAGACACAGTTCCCAAGACAGCAAAAAATCAGATGTGCCACTATCTTACTCTACTTATTGTAAAACCTCACCATGCTATGGGGAAAGACTAACGCTGAAAGCAGAGAGCTTGGTGGTCAAAAAAGACAGAGAAGGTAGACACAAACAGCATTTTAAGTTCCCATAGCATTCAGTTTTGCAAAAAAAAATTTTGCAACACATTTGCAAGGTACCATGTTCTTTCCTAAGTATGCATGGTCATGATGATGGAGTACAAAAGCTCTCTGGAAAACTGGTTTGAGTTTCAATGGCTTCTCCAAGCAGTTATGAAATCCTGATGCTTTATCAGAAGCAAAAATCAAATTTCTATTTAACTTACTCTCGACATCCTCCAACAATGCCTATACGACCATCTTGACCTTTATGCTTTTTCCCTGTTAGAGGAGGGATAACATTGCGCACCAGCTGAAAAATATTCTCCATATCCTTCAGAGTGTGTGTTCTGTGCAGTGAAAAAGACCTCTCTATAACTGAAAAGAAGAAAATAAGTGTTACTTCAAAGAATGTTCTTTCTTAAACTACTGCCAAACATTTCTTTTAAGCACTCATGTACTAAGAAAATCACACAAAGATACACAAAGTGACATCTAAAATCCAACTGCTTTGTCACTTAAAAGCCTTTAGAACGGTGAGTAACTAGGGAAGGTGATGATCATAAAAATGCATTCAGGGTCTGATGAAGAGAATATTCTGACTGTTCACAGCCCTAATTTAGGGCTCAGGTACAGAAAGAAGCAACAACCCAGAATAGTTACATGAACATCTTGTAACTAGAAATACCTTCTTAGTTCAGCCTGAAATCAGTTCCATAATTAAGCTCAACTGAAATAGGAACACTTAGTAAGGACTGAACACATCCACAGAGCAAGCACAAAGCAACTGAGACCAAATTTTAAATGTACACCCTACCTTATATTTCGCTTCCCCTTAAAGACTTGCACCTCTTAGCAGAATCAGGGCCTAGCTCACTGCTTTTTTATTTTGGTAGGCGGTTACAAAGCATAGTGAAAGTCTTTCTGCAAAACTCTAATCCAACGCACTAGATGCAAACATCACAAATATCACACAAAGATCATTTTAGCTATAATACATCTCCAGATCTCTAACGCAAAGCTACATGTCAAGCCACATACTAAAACAACTGCACACTCAGTAAGCTATGTCTCAAATGACTCTTTCAAAAGGCTACAAAAATTTAGAAGAAAAAATTACTTCAACAATTACAACTAGAAAGAATTGAAACATTTACCTAACATGGGAAAAATGGGAAGATCACTACTTCTATCAACAATGTGTTAACTATAAACTGCAACAAATACACTAAAAGAGCAACTTCTTAAAAGCTCCTCATTACCAGTAAAATTTTGCTCAGACTGGGGTGAAGAAGAGTGGCTTATTTGCTCAGAAGAGTGGCTTATTTGAATGCTAATATCAGTGTCCTAGACCACAGCCATGCTTACTTTCTTTTTTACAGATCTTCTAAAAAGCTTTCAAGGAACTGCTACACATATATAACACAATTATGTAGAAAATAACTCCCATGCTACTCCTTATTTTCAGCTGCACACAACTCAATAATCCCAACCCACAACTCCAAAATATAGAGGAGGAAAAAAAATTCTGTTCCAGAAGTACTGGGCATAATAAAGGGGAAAAAAAATCTGTGTGCTATCAGCAAAATACAGGTTTTTTTTCTCTGTCTTTCACAGAATCTAAACCAGACATGCTAATCTTCAGTAATAGTATGCTTTAGTCTTCAATAATGATAAATACTCTTGGCTGATCTTTTGCTTTTGAATACAGGCATCCCAGTCTTACTGAGAAATAATAAAAAGGGGGGGTAAAAAAAGAAAGGAATGAAAATAAAAGAAAAAACCCACAACCTGTTTTGGATTACGGCCAAAATAGCATTGCAGTGACCCAAAGGAGAACAAAATCCTCATCTCCTCTGAAAATAGGGCAGATTATTTTCTTTAAATCACACTTCACACACTTGCTGGCTTTCAACCACAAAAGAATATTACGTAGCTTGGAACCCTTAAACTGCAGTGCTGCTAAGAAGGCCTTGTGTTTATTTGCTGCTGGTTCTTGTTCATGTGTCAATATAAAATGACTACATAATAAATGGAGAGAAAGCAGAGAATTATGCAAAAAGCCATTCTTAATTTAGCCCTACTCTACCTACAGAATCACTATGGCATATTCAGCTCTTAACAAATTAAATCTTAATTCCTTAAAAGATGTGTTGCCTGAAGCATTATGCTCACATTTTAGCATAAACACTTTTTTACACTCTTGCCAATTAGAAGATTAGAATCTCGAATTCCTCTTGCTACAGTTAAATAAATAAAACTCATTTTTGCATAGCACAATATGCCTGTACACCTATATGATGAAATCCAACAAGAAAAATTGAACCTCAGTTTCAGGTTGCTACCCATAATTAAGCTTTCCAGGAAAAAACTTTCAGAAGTAATGGTAAGGCCTTGTAGGTACCTTCACCCCAGTCTAGAACCTTAAATAATTTCCTATGGGATATTCTAAAGCACACCAGTTTTCCATAATTTTAAAAGTGAGAACATTTGAAACACTGTATCCATTCACATCCCATAAATTATCTGCAAAGGTCTGCTGCCACCAGGAAATCCTACACACCAACTATCCACTCAAGAAACACAACCAGATCTGCCAGCCTAAACCCTCAACAGGCCTAACCACCCAGTCTGCTATGCATTTTACAGGGAAACAATAACACACAACTGCAAGGACCTCTCAGGACTCAGGGAATGCCCCTTAGGATCTGGCATGCCAGATTATTATTCAATACTGATGCTGGCTGGTTCCTTTTTTTTTTCTCCCTCTTTTTGAATTACACTTTTTTCCTTCCAAGCAGTGTGAAATTCAGAATTAGAACAGAATAAGACTTATTGCATTTCCACGTGGCAGGCTACAATCACTAAGCCCCCCAATCTGACTCTAGTTCCAGCACTGATGGAATATCCCTGATTTCCTGCTGCCCATTCAGTCTACCTCCAGGTACAAAGAGACCACGATAAAGATAAATGCCACAGGCACACAGATCCCAAGAAGTTTGTTAATGATTGCTACCATCAGCTTCTGGCCCACACATGATGTACAGAAGGAAGAGTTTGTGCATAAATACAAATTATTGAGATACTGCTTGGCCTTTTTAAGTAAATTCAGATGCCCATAGAATTTATAGAGCTCATGTAGAAAAAAAAACCATAAGCAAATATTTTCATCTTCTATTACACCTACTACAATAATACAATATTTAATTTATAAGTTCCAGAATTTTGTTGTAAAGAAATTTATTTTAAAGAAGCTAGACCTTAACATCTGACTTACTTCAGTGTAGGAAAAACTCCAATCTTTTCCCAGCCCTAAAAAAACACATGCACAGCCTTAACTTCATATACTGGGTTATGCTTGGTAACTTCAAGCAGAACAGCAGCAATATTTCTGCTACAGAGTAACTAATGTTTCCAGATTGCTTCCAGCAACTCTCCTACTTGCCTTTTACATATGTAACTCCTCCTCACTTCACCGTACAGAGACATGAATGTGGAAAGAAGTTCCCAAGGTTTATAGGGTTGAAAAGGAATAATTTTGCTCATGAAAATTTGTTATAACTAATGTACCTGTATTAAATAATCAGTACAATGGTATGAATAATGATTTCATTTCATTCAACATCAGACAAACACCTTCACCACAGGATTAAATAATTCCAATTAGCTTTTATTTTCAAAAGCTGCTTACTACCAGCGCTTTCACACAGAAGTTTTAAAAAGTACCCTAGTTTTTATCTATGCTGTAGAAGGAAGTACCTATCGGTGGAGAAAGTGTTGCTGTCATAGCATTATAATTAAAGTTATCCGCATATGAACGATGGTTCGCTCTCCGAGGTGGACTTGTTGGTATAGACTGTGACCTTTGTGATACCGTAGAAGAAATTCCAGCCAACATTTGTCCCAACATCTGTAACATCTGGAGTTCTCGAGCATGCTCAGCTTCCCGACGCTTGTCCTCAATTTTGAGCCTCTGCTCTTCGAATCTGTAAAATTTCTCATCTGTATCCATGCTCTGCTGCAGGAATTTTTCCATCATTTTATCCAATGTCATATTGGTATGGCGTTTTTTTGATCTTTTGGGCTGATTGAGAGGTGGGGTAATGGTTGGAGCACTGACTTCTTTAAAGCCTAAAGTAAGGAAAGAATCTATTATTTTTCTGATGGAAAACAATTTTCTAAGAGGAAACAGCAAAAAAATCTCCCTACAAGATGTGACCTAACGTCTCACAAAGCATTCGGTTACACTTTCTCAATGCGAACTGTATTTACATGAGATAAATAGTATTTCTTTCAGAGTACCAAAGTAAATCCAAAAACTTCTACCAAGTTGCAAGGGTAATACAAAAATCACAGAGCAATTTTTTAATTGTTGTAGTGCTAAACTTCAACAATAGGAGTCTTTTTCATCTGCTAAAAAGGTTTAAGTGAAGGTTATTAAATAGTATAGCCTCATTTGTCTATTGCAGACAATCACATTAATCTAAATTGAGTTTCAGTCTGTTGGCATTCTAGATTTGCATTTCAAAAGAACATTAGTGTAAACAACTCTTTGATGGGGTTTAAATGTAAAAAGAAGGTTGCTTAAACGTCAACCAATCGGCTGATGCTTAAGTGATGTCAACTTCTGAAGACAGGTTCATGTTTGTATTAAAAACCCTGCATTAATCCAGATTGAAAACAAACAAGCAACATTTCCCCAGCACCTCCACAACACAAATGTGTATTGTGGGTAAAGAACGCGCAGGGAAAGGACAGGCTCTATCAAAGTGCTGTTTCTGTCCACAAGCCCCGTAAAGTTAGAAAGTTTCTGAATTAACCCGTACAATTTATTATGTGAAAGCTCTCCCCTAGCTTTCTGGCCCAGCTGCAACAATAAGGAGATTTTTCAGGTATTATCGTCATCATCGTTTTAATACCAATTAGCAAACTGCACTCAGTCTGCAGGGAACGGGAAAACACTCCAGCGAGAAGGATGCTTATTTTCTTGTTCAATGCTACCTGACACTTTGTCTCGATAATCTCTGCGCTAGTTTTCCACGGGTTTCCCATGGACAAATACCGATAAAAACTCACTAGGGTCCCTGTCTGCAGTATCTCCCCTCCCCAGTATGCAGCATTTCCAGCACCGGCAGCAGCCCGCTCCCCAGTTCACAGGGACGCGCAAGGTGCAAGAGTGGGGGGAAGCACGGGCGGGTTTCGGAGCGCGAAGGACGGGGCAGGAGGCAGCAGCATAAGGCAAAAGCCACTTAGAAGCGCGCTAGCTGCGGAGAAGCGCCGGCAGCCGGGCTGCGAGAGCCCGCGGGGTGAGGGGAGGACAGCCGGCGCCGGGAGCCCGCAGGCTACTCACCGTCACCCGGCGGCACGGGGATGGCGAAGGGCGGGCACTCCACCTTGATGGGGTGGTCGGCGTAGGAAGAGCACTCGCCGGAATCCTCGGTGAAGTTGTCCCGGGGGGATTCCGGCCCGGCGTCCTCGTCCAGCTCGGCGTCCAGCTCGCGGCTGTTGTGCGGCGTGCCCGGCGTGGGCGGCGCGGCGAGCGGCCCCGCGGGCGGCTGGGCGCCGTCGGGCGGCGGGGCCAGCGGCTCCGGGGGG